CTTAGTCATTTATTCGCTGCATTCACATTACCGGTCACTTCATAATGGGATTTAATTACAATTGCATGCGTGTAAACTCAAGTGCCACACAAGCCGAAAGGTATTTGCACCTCAGCAAATAACTTCCTCGAAGACGACGCATATCCATATGTATCTAGTATTATTAGGTGACCATTTAAGTAGTCAAATGTTGGCATATAAATATATACTTGTATGTAAGTACAGACATATGTATAACTAAAACTTATTATGCTATCATATGTCCAACCAAGTAAGTGGTGCAGATGTGTGGTATGAAGGAGTCATTGAGCTTAATGCAAGTGCGTCAAACATATACATATATTAGTGAAGTTAATATAATGATGGATATGTGCTTGTGCCATATCTTAGTACATAAGTATACATACATATGTACACACTATCAATTACACAGGTTTACAAACAAAAAGTTTCTGCATATTGAACCAAACCTCTATAACCCTATGCATGTTATTCGACGCGCTGAATGCGAATCCAAGGTCTGTTTGCCACCATAATGTTAGGTTCGAGGTCATTTGAGGGTCAAATAGGACAAAAAATTTATTCAATAAAAAAAAGTCTTGTTTTGTTGTCGGTGAATCCGAATATGGGGTTCCCTTGATTCTTCAAGGTAATCTAGAGGTCATGCCGAGGTCATCCCAAGGGCAAAATTGTATTGAATTTTCAGGTTTACTCAATGAATTTTTCTCTACTTGAGCTGCAAATGACCTCGAACCTGACGTGATCGAAGCTAACAGACCTCGGATTCACATTCAGGGCGTCGAATAACATTGGGAATATAGAGGTGTGGTTCAATATGCAGATACTTGATTTTTTTTGTAAACCTGTGTTATTAACAAAATCATATAATGAGCTGCTGGATATACATTAGGGTGGTCCAAAATAAGTTAAGTCGGAATTTTAAGGCACTCACCCCCTAGGATTGTTCTATATCGAAAAAAGTATACCCCATTTTTTATTTTGAAATCAAAAAATATTTAGAGGTCACTCAAAGCGCTCAAAGCTTTTCACGCATTTGATATGGGAAAAAACAACTTTTCGTAGAAATGGTATGGAATTCGTGAAAATCAATATGTATTTTTCGATCGGAAACCTCTGGTTCTCTTCAGGAGACTTCCGATAACAATACCCCATTGTTTACTTAACCATTTTTTATTACTGAAGATTTTTTATTCATGTATTCCCCCATTGCATTTTTAGACAATTTAGGGGGTTTTGGTGGACGTATTAAATATAGTTACTATGAAAGAAATTTTAAATAAGAGCTTTCCGATCGAAAAATATTGATTTTCATTTCCATTTCTACGAAAATTTGTTTTCCCTCATATAAAATACATGGAAAACTTTGAGCACTTTAAGCGACCTCTAGAAATTTTTTGATTTCAAAAAAAAAAAAAATAACTGGTGGTATATTTTTTTCGGCAATACTGGGGGGTGAGAGCATAAAAATTTGCGACTTTACTTTTTCACATGCATTTTTTTTTGGACCACCCTAATATACATACATACATATACATATGTACATAGTATGTTTGGCTAATTTATAGTTGTCACAATGCGTGCATATCTTTCATTCATACCCGAGACAGAAATATTTCCTTAAGAATTATTCACCTCAATGTTGAGAAGGCATCCATTTTGCATTATTACTACCATTGGACAAACATACATACGTTCATACACCCGCACATGAGGTTATGTGTGTAATATTTAAGTAACATTGTCGCACAAAATAAACCATCATTTTAATATTAGTGCTTATCTATTTACTTTAAAACTTTAAAACTTAAAACGGCTTTAAAACGGCGATGGGTAACGCCTTGCCCGCGGGCAAAGCTCTTTGAACTTTCTATACATTTTTGTATGGACGCGTGCAAAGTGCCCACCCTGAAAAACCCTCTAAAATTAAGCGAAACATATGCTTATGAATATATGCTACATAAGTATGTGCAGCGACGTACTGATTGCCAGTGACTAGGGATGGCAAAAAAAAAAAATCGATTAATTTAATCAAATGATTAATAGATGCCATACCTATCTAGCAGTGAACATTTATTTACCTTGCCACCACCATTCTAGCAATAATGATATGAAAAATAAAAATTAAAATATCAAAGTATCAATGGTCATTTGAGCCACTGAAGACCCCATACGAGCAATTGTGTGTAGTTGATGGTTAAAACTTCTTTGGTGTCTCAGCTAAGAAGAGGTTATTAATGTAGCTTTACTTTGAGGAGGAAAAAGTATCTTAATTTTTCTTAACAAAATTATTTGTACTGTCTTTGCTAGTCATTGCAGTATGACTGGACTACAATAAGCTAATATACGCTCATATTTAGTAAGTAAATATATTCATAGAAGCATAGTATGGTATATTATGGTTTTTCACATTATTACCGTAGTTAAATGCAGTCTATTTCTTGAATGGAAAAATTCATTCATAAAAGTAGTAATCGTTGTGGTTGGCTTAGTACACATTAATTGTTTGAACCTCAACGGGTGTTGAATGTCAACGTCACACAGCAATCGCTTAGTAGTCAAATGGTATTTTAGTTTATTCGGAAAAATCGCATAACACTAATAATCACTTCGTCTTATCGAAACGAAAAAAGTCAATTTAAAAACGATTTTTCCTATTAGTTGATTGCTTTTGTTGTATACTAACGCGATTAAAATTTTCAAAAATTTAAATTTGTTGTTAACATTGTGGCTAAAAATTCTAACAAGTTTTTTTTCAGGTACCGTAACTGCTATGCTGTTTGTAAAAAAAAGTCGAAAAATAATCGTTATTTTTTCATCAATATGTTTTCAATCAAAAATTAACAATTAAAATTTAGCTTTTATTTTTTCGATCAAAAGTAAAAGTTAACTTTTCACTTTTATTTTTTCAATAAAAAACAACAGTTAATATGTTAGTTATATATTTTCAAACAAAAAAAAAACAAATTTACTATGGACTTCATTTTGTTTTATTGCCTTCCTTATCATTGCACAAACAATAAAACTTTTCTAACTTAACGTTTACAAGCAGGTGAAATAGCGTTTAAATTTTGAACAAAATAAAAGTAAAAATTTTTAACCAAAAATACAGCTCAAACATTAATTCTTACTTTTTTGTCGAAAAATTAAAAGTCACATGTTTACTGTTATTTTAGACTGAATAAACCAAAGTCAAATCTTTAATGTTTGTTTCCCCTTAAAACTAGTAAACAATTTTGCACCTGTTTTGGTCTTGCAAATTTTCTGATTTTTTAAATTTTTTTAATAAGTAGACTTAAGCTTATCTTGGAAATAATTAAGTCTTTTATTACTCTCAAATGGGTTTTAACTACATAAACATATACTCACATATAATTAAATATGTACATTAGACAGTATCACAAAAAAAGTTCAATTTGTTCCAAGTGATTTTGAACATTTAAGGCGTATTCACCGTTCGTGTCCGGGCGCTTTTTGCTGAACATTGTTTGTTCGAATCAAATTGATTTTCCTGCTTTTCTGTACGAACGACTTGATGATTCGGGTTGCGGCGTTCTCCTTTATATGCGTTTGCAGCGAATTGCATGTATTATTTGCCCTTAAAACCGCATGTGGGCAACAATATTATCAGCTGTTTGCTTCAGAACAAAATAAAATGAGCCGAACTGAACGGTGAAACGTAGTTCAGCACCCTCTTCGGCAAAAATGTTTTGAGTGCAAATAAAAAGTTGTCCGGATACGAACGATAAATCCACCTTTACTTACTATGAGGATATTCCAGCGGTGTAAATTTGTTTCGGCAGCCCGTAAGAAACCTACATATTTCCCTCTGAAAATATTATCTTCTCACAACAAACTAAAAAGTGATGATATTTTTCTGAACATGGAACCCTCTAGTCAATATTTAGTTAAAAGTTCAAAAACATACTTCCATGATACAGGGCACCCTGACTAGGTATTTTTCGAGCCTAGTAATTCGACATGGAGATTATTTTTCTGACACATAATATTGAGTACAGGGTGGCGCGTTCAGAAAAATTAACATAAATTGCAGATTTTATTAGACATGATGATAGCACTGTATACTTTTAATAAGATACACCTACCATTTATAGAAATCGAATATTATATAAAAAGATTATAGAAAAAACCCGATTTAACTATAACTACATATGTACAAGGTGTCAAAAAAAAAAAGGGTTACACTCCTGTTATACCTGCTCCCATAGTCAGAATTCAAAATCGTTTGAAACAAATCGAAATTTTTTTGACCCATACATCGTGATACGGCCTAATGTACATGCCTCTTGGCCATATTGTGTTACTACTGTAATATACACCACCACACACTGCATTTGTAGCATTAAATTCCTTCATTGCTAATCTTCGTCTGTATGTTTTTGTTTTTCTTTTATTGCGCAAAGGTCCATTCTTCCGACTGTGTGCGCGGTGCCGGCAAGTGCGTTGACCGCAAAGTCATTTTGTTGGTAGTAACACAATAAAGTACACGAACGCATTCTTGCCCAGCCAAACACCTGCCACTGCCTGCCACTGCAACGCGACGCACGTGCAAAATCTTTCGCGGCATCTGAGAGCCACAGCTTAATTGCTGCGCTCATACACGCATGTGTCGTTAAAGTGGTTGCAACAGCAACTGGGATTACAGCGCGGCAGCAGCAAATTCACCGTTTTCAAAGGAGCAACACCATGCTGCAGAATCCTTCGAAATATCATCCAAATCCGTTTTCTCACTTGTTGGCCTTGCATAGCACTCAGGCTGTGGTGAATAGCAGCAATATCGTCACTCATCAAACGCATTTGGCTGCCTTGCCGCCGGTTTTCGCAGCACAAAATCAGCTGCAACTGCAACATCAGCAACAGCAGCAGCAACAACAACAACAACACCAGCAACACTACCATAATCATCATCCAACAACAACATTGCCGACTATCAGTCAACAGCACAGCAATGCATTTCTGCTGCAAAACCATCCACCACGCCAGCAACAACACAACACCCACGCGCATACGCGCACAGGCGAGCTGCTGGATGCGACCAGTACCTCCCTCGACATGGGCAAGTCGTTCACGATTGCCGCCATTTTGGGCTTGCAGAAGAGCGCAATGGAGAATAGCCGCAAGGATTACAACAACGCAATCAATTTATCGCTAAATAGTAGTGATGAAGATGGCGGCAAGGATGCCAGCTTGGGGCGATCAGCGCATAGTAGTCAACAAGCGTTTAGTGATGAGGAAGTGGAAATTAGCGATCAACAATCACACAATTTACGTATGCCAGCTGCTGGCGGTGGGAGCGGCGGCGGCGACAGTGGCATAAAGTCGCTGAAGTGCGTGCGAAATGCCAATAATTTGTATCAACAAAATGGCAACCCCTTCGATTGTAATGGCAATGCCAGCGCCGCTCTGATACATCGTTACTTACCAATACCAGTGTCGTCTAAGCCAACGACGGCGGCTACATCATCGTTTGTTGCTGCAGCTGCCGCAGTAACGCAACATCATCATCAACAACAGCAACAACAACAACAACAAAATCTATTGCTGTCCCATGTGCGTTCTGTGGCCTCAGCAGCGGTGGCTGCGTCGGGATCATCGTCTGCGCTGCAGAGCTTGCAACAGTTGCATCAACATCATGCGGCGCAGCAAAGCTCCTTGAATTTGCAACGCGAGAAGCATAAGTCGGGTGAGTGAAATGGTTTGAAAAACTGTGTATATACATATATGTATATCCAAAAATGCATGTGAGAAAGTACCCTACAAGACATTGCTGAGCACTTTAGGCAAAAATTCTCACACATTTACACTTTTGTTTTTGTAGTACGGCATAAATGACCCTACAAGACATTGCTGAGCACTTTAGGCAAAAACTCTCACACATTTGCACTTTTGTTTTTGTAGTACGGCATAAATGAGTAGTTTGACTATTAGTACTGAGGACTTTCTGATGACAACATTGA